CAGAATCTATCCAAAATCTAATAAAACAGAAAACTATTGAAAAAAGTTTGAGATTAACATATATTATCCAAATAAATCTATTTATAACCCCTATTATCCAGTACTCCATGATTAGGAAAAGCCTAAGATTTTTGACTCTGGGGATTGCCTTTTCATTAAAAAAAATTAAAAAGTGTGTGTGGGGAGGCTCTCTGTTGTGCTGCTGTTATTGTCAGTCTTTAGGGTTCAGCTCTTTCCTCTGGATCTCTCTTAGTGAAATCCATTCTGAGTGAACAAAATAGAATAATGAATACAATATTTAATACATCCTTGCACTGGGAATGTATGTATCCTCTCTCTTTCTCTAGTGGACACAGAGACAAATCATGCATATCCATATCAGGGCCCAGAGGATGGGGAGACAGGGAAATGCAGGAACACTTTGTAGGAAGGGCTGTGAAAACTGGAGAGACAATGAGCAAAGGGACCACCTTGAAGGAGGGGTGCAAGGTGCAGGTGCTGGCGGTGGAAGGAAAATGGAATGTGGAGCACTACAGCCCCAAACTTGGAACTTTATTAGATGCAGAGGAGAGGTCCCCAGATTCCTCCTGCTGAATTGAGTGCACAGCACTGCTGTGGATTGAGGGGAAGGAAGAGATCACTCTGCCATGGACCAGAAAGTCCCCCAAAGCTGCCAAAGTGTCTCCTGCTTGAAAGCAATGGAAGTCACTGTGTATCAACTGCAGTTATTACACATAGTAGCACCTGGAAAATATGCAAATATTACATTGTCTTCAGAAGTTAGTATGAAGCCCATTCCTTCTTTCAATCCGACTCTGTATTTGTAGTGGTTTGTTTCAAAACCCCTGTACTTTCATCTAATGGCAGTTAGTTTAGTTTTGCCATGCAAGTCTCAAGCGTGGACTTAATATTAATTTTGAAAAACTGATCTTTGCAGATTTAATAAGTTATGCAATGAGAATGGCCTTTGCATCTCTCATTTCTCTCACTGCTAATGCTACTGTGCTAATAAAATTATGGCCCATTACAATTTGTCATTTCTTTCATTCTAGGGGCATTTTTTTGCATTCAACACTTGAGACCTCCTAAAGCCCCTCATTCACCACACCAGATGACTAGGAAGTGGGGTCCCATGTTAGAATGCTGAGGAACCACTTCCGAAGATGCTAACTTTCTTCTTCTTCTTTCTAAACTAGTGATTTAATCCAGATTTCTAGAGATATATGAGACCAAAAAAAAAAAAAAAAATTAAAAAAAGTTGCAAGAAAAATAAAAGTGCACCATTATATTCTGAAACGTGGGATCAAATGGTACTTTGGTACTTTACTTTGGTACAGATCCATGAACAATGCTGTAATATGCAAAGGTATGTTACAGTGCCAGCTGATGACAAAATCCATGACAAGGATCTGCATTAGCGCTGGTGTGAATGGCAAGGGGACACTCTGTCATTGGGTGAAGCTCTAAAAGAGAATGAGGCAGCCAAAAGACCTACACAAGAAAACACGTGGGAACCAGGCTGAGGAAGTGAGGAGTCAGGAGGAAGAAAGAGCAGTGCTACCCTTTTCCTGGTGCACAAGACTGGATCAGATGTCTCACTACAGGCCCCTTATACAGCCATATTGAAATAACAGCACATATTTCAGCTTTTGCATGAAGGAGTGGTGATTTGGGGCAGGTGGGCTGATGCAAAATATAGCTTTGCTACAACCCATGGCCTGTGGGCTACACGCAGCTCCCCGAGGCATTGAGAGCATCTCAGTGGGGCTGGGATGTGCCTGACACCACTGCTGAATTCCTCTTGCTTCCCTTCACTCATGATTCAGGGACCTTTTCCCTGCCCTTGCAGGAAAGGGTGATCTTTAGCATGAGGGAGTAATGGGGAGAAGGGTCATATATAGGCCCTCATATATATTGTTCTCTGCTCACAGCTGCTAGTTTGAAGGAAAAAGCAATCTGTGTCTGGATCACTGGGAGACATGCATGTCAGAGCATACAAACATTTGCCCCCTAAGCCTTTGTTGTTTAGGCAGCTGGTAAAACCTCCACACCAATGTGCATTATAAGCTGTTTTGCACATGCTCGTCCTGAATAATACTTGTTGGTCCTCTACGCATCTCTCATGAGTTACAACTTCCAGGAATGAGATAACAAAACATTAACATGTATTAAGAAGCAGCAGCAGCAGCAGCAGCATCTAATAGGGATTTTAAAGCATCCAGTCCATGGATTCCATAGGGGACCAGAGTGTTTTTCTGTCTATAGTTTCACATGATGATTGTACCTTTACTTGTTTTTACTTGTTTACATTTTAATAAATTAGGTTTAGCTTTCATGCTTTAAAGGAGTGGAATGCTTGTTTGCATTGCCTGTTTTTCTTTTCAGTATCAAAGCCTCCAGTTCCATTTGCTGATTAAATGAGTTGTAACTCATAAAAATTCATTCTAACTTACAAATACATTTCAAACTAAAACAGTTGTTTGCTACACTTATCCTTGGATTTGTGAAAAAGAGCTAACAAGGTTATGCTGTCATAGTAATCAATTGATTTTAGTGGATGAACTCAAAAAGTACAAAAAATTGACTTAAAAAATATAAGCTACATTTCCTTGAACAGTTTTCAAACTGCTTTTTCCTATATTTACGTTTTCATTTTATTATGACCTTTTTGTACCCATTTGCTTCACATTTTAAAGTGCACTGATTTCTTTTTAAATGTTGTAGTTGTTTACAAATTATTTCATGATTTTAACTTTTTGGATGTTTCTTTTTGGAAGAAAGGTGATTTAAACTTGCTTTTAAATAATAATTTGCCTTATAAAATGTACTTTCAACTTGTTGTTTTTGGGAGGAAAGAATTTTCCTTCTTTATTAGTTTTTCAAGTATTCTAAAGAACTATGATTACTTTTCTCCATTATAAATAATAACACCAACCAGAATGAGTTAATTGAATAAATTTATATTGTATATGTACTGTCCCATGTGAACAAGCTGTATTTACCTTTGCATAATCATTAATAAGGAGCTGAAAGTCCTAATAATTCACCCTTGGAATTGCATGTGTATTTATGATAAGAAAGGTCACAGTCCATATTCTGCCCCACATACATTTTGGCTTGCTCATATCTGGAGGAGAATAGCATCATTTGATTATAATAGGAATTCAGGGTTCTGGATCCTTGCAGCATTCCTAGTAGTTGCAGCTACATTGTAGTACATTGAATCCAGTGCTCCATCTTGTCCCTGAAATCTGGCTCATAGAACTGCTTGGTACTCTTGTGCCTACTTACCATAGTTCACCCGTATTAAGATGCTACAGAATTCTGAAGGGATCAACCCACACAATCAATTTTGTACCTGCTAGAAGATTCCAAAGTAAAGTCCCATATATGTGTCAAACTAGTCATGAGGGCAGTATGAGCTATGTGAGAGAACCAGGTAATGGCAAATCAATGCAAAATGGAAAATGAGAAGGTTACAAGGTGTGTTTACTCTAAGTGCTGTGGGAATGAGAGGGAAGAGAGTCCTGAAAAAACCTCCCTCAAACCACACCATGTGCTTTTCCTCACAGTGCTTCCCAGTTGCCATTTTTCTTGCTATCTCTGACCCTGCTGACAGGGAATGTTGGTGCTGGGTAAATTGTCCCCAAACTACCACTCTGACAGCAACTTTCATAGTAAGGACAATTGTGCTTTTCTGGCAGGTGGCAGCAAGCATTTCTATTTCTCAAGTATTTACTGGGGATAATGTTACATTAACATCTATTTTTTATCTTGTTCAAAGATAAATTGTCTACCAGATGGCAGCACAAGAAAATGTTGACCACCTTATCCTCTCTTATAAAAACAAGGTGGAAGCTTATACCATTAAAGGACAGGTATTTTCTGAACAACTTTCAGTTTTCAAAGATCCCAACACTACAGACACCATAAGAGCTGATCGGTTGACACTGTCTATAGTTTAAAACTACAGTTATGACTTACTCTGTTCTCAGTTTTTGAAGGTACTGCAGACCCTTGCAGAAGGTTTTGCAGACCCCTGCAAAAACATAGCAGGCCCTTGATCAAGTCTACTGAGGTAATGAATGAAATTATTCAGGTACAATACCATGAACTGCTTCCTCAATGTTCAGAAACCTCTGATCTGGCCAAAAGTGTCTTCCCTGGCTGAAGATGGCAGGGTGGGAAGAAGAGCAGAGGGAACTTTTCTTTCCCATCTGTTTACAGCCCGCCTAATGACAACATTTCTGTGCTGGGGGTTAAAGGAGTGGAAGAAGGATGCTGAAGGAGGATCAGGATAAACTGTAGTTACTGCCCTTCCATATCCATCAGAACGTCCCTTTCCCCTCCTCTCTAAGGTCCATTTTCCAACCTCAGAGAGGCAGCCAGAATGGTTCTTTCTGTGCCTGCTGATACAGACTTCCCTTTCTGAGGTTGGTAGTCTGAGCACAAAAGTGGAAATCAGAGCTAGAGACTCATGCTGAGAGACTATGAGACTGCTCCCCCCAGCAATACTTCACCTAGGAGTCCATTTGATCCAATGAGACTGGCTATTTCACAAAAAGCCCAATATCCATACCAGTTCAGAAGATTTTTGTTATTCTTTAACAAGAAAGGTCTTGAACTTTAAAGTTTGATGAAAGCAGCAACAATTGTGTGTGTGTCTTATGATGAAGCTATGAGGGAACTTCTGCCAATAATGAGAAACTAAAATTGTGTACATTCCGTAAAATGCATGGATGAAAGCAGACCTTGAAACATATTTAATGGTTCTTCTTGGACGAAGAACTGTGTTGATAGGGAAAGGTGTGTCAAAGCAGAGAATCAATTGCTTTTCTAAGATCATCTATTGTGTTCATGCTCCCTGCAAGATTTCACCCAGAAATACTAAAGTTCACAGAACAGTCCATTCACAAGTTGAATAGATTACTTTTCACATTAATCAATATAACAAGCAATTTTTATTTGTTTCCATTTCAGTTCATCAGTATTTATGTTTCTCAATGTCTTGTGAAATACTTACAAATGACTCTTCTCAGGGCTTCTTTGACCTCTTGGTTTCTTAGGCTATAGATTAGTGGGTTTACCAAAGGTGTCAAAATTGTGTAGGAGACAGAGAAAGATTTGTTTAACTCAATCAGCTCACTCGTTTCAGGTAGCATGTATACAGTCATGAGACTTCCATAGAAAATTGTCACTACAATGAGATGAGACGAACAGGTGGAGAAAGTCTTCTGCCTCCCTGTTGCAGAGGAAATTCTCAAGATTTTAGAAATGATACAGAAATAAGAAGTCACTGTCAGGACAAAAGGAGGAAGAGTAAATGCAGCAGAAAAAAGTAATAGCAGCATGGAAACAAGTTGTATGTCACTACAAGAGAGTCTTAGAATTTGAACGATATCACAAAAAAAGTGATTGATTACATTTGGACCACAGAAAATTAGCTGTGACATAAGCAATACCAACATGGAACTGGCAATAAAACCATTTAACCAGGAGACATATGCCAGATGTCGACAGAGCTTGCCATTCATGTGTATGACATAATGCAGGGGTTTGCATATTGCCAAAAAACGATCATAAGACATTATAGATAAAAGATAACATTCTGTGCCAGCCAAGCCACCAAAGAAGAAAGATTGCAAGAGGCAGATACTCTTGAAAACGACTTTATCACTAGATAGGAAACTGGCCAGCATTCTGGGCAGGATTGTTGAACTGTAACAAACTTCCAGGCAAGACAAATTTCCTAAGAAGAAATACATAGGGCTGTGAAGATGTTGATCAGTCACAATAAGTACAACTACTAGAAGGTTCCCAGCCATAGTCAAAATGTAGATTAATAGGAAGATCAGAAAGATGGGAATCTGCAGATTTTGGAGATCTTCAAATCCCAGAAGGATGAATTCTTCAATTTCTGTTTGATTTTTCATTTCCATGTCCACCATCATATTTTCTTGGGAAATGATAATAAGTGCAGAAATACTTTTGAAATATGTGAAAATAATTATACTTGGTAAGGGGTCATCCAAATTTTAACTGGTTGCAAATCAGGTTGCACACATATTATGCTCCATTCATGTGTCATCTGAGTTATTATATGTTATCTGAATTATCATGGAGCCATAAGATATTTTATTGGGAAAATCTAGATTGTTTAGCTCAGAAATGGCAAAATCAGACCTTCATGGATCATATTTCAGGAAATATTTCATATTTCAGTCACATGACTTACCATTTAATTTAGTATGATTAAGCATAGGAAGAATAGAACAAAGGAGTCTAATTTAACATACTTTTGTTCTTAGGTGTCATGTTACAATTTGCCAACAGTGTTCAAATATTGCAAAGCATATAAACTAACTATAAATAACAAACACCTTAGTTTCACTCATTTTTGTTATATGTAATCATTAATCTGGATTAAGTTGATAAAGTTTCTGTGTGTGCAATCTGCAAAAAGTGAAATGTTAAGGGTTAGGCTAGAAAAATAACAGGCTAGAAATAAGATTTCCTGAGAATATTTTTTTGACTGAATTTAAAAAATCGAGGGAGAGCGAAAGAGAATGAGAGAGGAGAAAGCAGTTCCTTGCACAATTATAGGTACATTTTTGCTTTATGATAACGTAATATTTAGATCCAAATTAAGATTATCACACATAGCTTCTATTTAAATCAATAGGACTTACAGTTATAACAATTGGCGGATTGGTTTAAGAGGGACTTCAGCTAACAAGATGAACATTTTTATTGCACAGTTTCAGTCACAGAATTTTGAGTGGTGATGATGTCTTCAATAAGTATCCCTCTCATGTTTCCCCATCTCCACTTTCATCTTTCAAGGTTTTAATCCTGAGAAACGTCCTCCATCATATGAATGAGTCAAGTGCTAGGATGACTCCATCTACATGCATCCTGCTTCTGGATCAAATGCATTCTGTATTGCACTCCCAACCATTATTTGAAAAAGCTTGCAGAAACCATATCATTTTCAAACATACTAAACCAGAGCTTCACAATGTTTTTTGGTAGTCTAAGGATGTTATGGAAGTATATTTTATGGAGGTCAGAGTGTTTGTTTTCTCTACATATGTACCTCAACCTGCTGTTTCTGCAACCTTTTCTTATAGAAGGCAGGCACAATTGCCAATCAACATCAATGCAGCCAACTAGACATTGATTCACAGTTGCTTGATAAAGGCTTGCATTTTCCATTTTCATGCAAGATGCAGTTAAAAAGGCAGTATCCCAGAATGCTATCATACTTTGCTGGTGGGCTTAGTCATCTTTCTTCTCTAGGATGCAGCACCTTATGTATGAGAGGAAGGACATAATCTAAAATTTAAACACTATGAGAGATTTATTATAGTGTGTTGTTTCACAAGATTTATTTAGTGTGTTCTTTCACACCATTTTTATATTTGCGAACAAAAATAAGTGTGGGGTGAACTGAATTTTTGTGCAATAGGGAATATGGACATTCATTCTTCCTTTTTTCCTTTATTTTTTTTCCTTTTTAAAGGAAACAATCATTTTATAAAAATTCTGGGAGATGATGATGCCTTGAGGATGATGGCTACCTGAGTGAAATTGTGCCTGATTCTCATGCAGTTGAATATAATGCATAGAATAAATTCTCTCTCTCTCTCTCTCTCTCTCTCTCTCTCTCTCTCTCTCTCTCTCTC